GCCTCTTATTACGTTTATATTGTGTCTGTCAGTTGAGTACTATTTTATTTTATTTGTTGTGTTATGTAGGTGTTCCAGATGTTATAGTCATGGATATGGATTTGAATGTCATTGCGATTGGTGAAGTATCACACGACAAGCCTGATGATGGATTGTATCAGTTGCTTGGGGCAATGTTACGGGTTTATCTGGAAACTGGGCTGCTGCCATGTGGTATATGTAATGCACATTGTACGATGTTCATTGATATAATTTTTAGGAATTTTATTAGCCAAAAATTCAATGCATTCATTTCATATGGTTATCATCAGTGGTATACTTACAAGTGTTCTCTAGAAAGCTTTGGAGGGATCGTGTCTATACTAGAGATGCTTATTAACACTGTCTTACATAAAAGGAGTGGAAAACCTGCTACTAAAGCACCAGAAGTACAACCAGATGATGCTGTATTGATTGCAATTAGGAAGTTAACAAAGGAAGTGCATGAGCTGTAAGTGCACATTACATTACATATTAATTTTACAAATGCAAATTTTATTTCCAGACCCAAGAGAGTAGCAGAAGCCATTGTAACTAATCCAAATCAGAAAGCAAACATTGATGGTCCGTGAAGTATTTGAGAAGCTTATAACGTTAATCCTATTTGACATGATGATAACTTTTTAATTCAAAATTTCCTCAGAGCTTTGTTAAAACAGGGTGGAAATGTGGATCGGTAGAAGTAGGGTAGGTGTATAAGAATATTCTGTACTGCTTTGTATCCTGCAGTGTTCCTCTGTAAGCATTAGTACACCTTCAGATGAAGATGACTTTTAGCAGCCAGTGAGGAACATCTCCAACTTAATACTCAACACACACACACACTATAAAAACAGTGGTGTTGGTTTACTATACAGAATGTTAGAAGAATAGGTGTTGCTTACAGTTAGGGTGGTAAATTTATCTAGTGGAGTATCATTCTGTTTAAAGAGGTGTTGGTTTTTTGCAAAAGGTTTTGAATGACTTAATTTGCAGCAATTGTTTTGTGTAACAACCTTGAAGGTGGCTGCAGCTCTCTGCCCTTGTTATAGTTTTGGGGTGGAGGTCCTTCTGATAATTAAACCTTGATGTAGCACTAGCTAATTATTGTATCAAGCTCATAATTCGTTTTTTCGGGTTTGATGTAAAACCTTGGAGTTTTGAGCTAAAAACCTCCAGCCTCACCCCATCATTAAGTATGCAGAAAGTATATTTAGCTGATTATCTCTGTAGATATTCATTCTAATTTAGTACATTTATTTTTCATAGCAAGCAAT